TTAGCGGCTTGAAGCTCATTTTTTCTTCGCAACTCTTGTTCTTCCCTTTCTCTCAGGTGTCGCCGCTCCAGAAGCTTACGTTCCTTTTCTTTCACTTGAAAAGCAATGTCAGCGCTTCGAGCAGCTAACGAGCTGCTGGACTGGTGAGACTGAATTGAGCCCGACACTATAGATGGTGTTTCACCTTGTCTGGATTTCAAATATTCTCGTATGCATTGATATGCTTCGTCGTGTTGCTGCTCTGCAACCTTCATGTAATCGACCGCTTCTTGAACAAGTGCTTCATCTTCTGCTATTGCTTCTTTGAGCTCTTCGTTCACTTCTTCTAAAGACTCAAGTGCAGCGTCCAGCTCCTTAAGCATGTCGACCAGCTGCGTCCTAGAGCCTCTATTTTCAATCATTACTAGGGCTCGTCTTCTTACTCTGGTGAGCAGGGATGCGGAGGCGGAGCCGGAGCCGGAGCCGGAGCCGCCGGAGCCGGCATATTTTGCCCGGAGCCGGAGCCGGAGCCGGAGCCGTGAAACAATATAGCCCGGAGCCGGAGCCGGAGCCGGAGCCGCCAAAAAAGGGGGCGACTCCGGCTCCTTTTTATTTTTTTGAAGAGGAAAAAAATAATTGACTTAGTTCGGTTTGACAGTACAAGGCAGTAAAACATATCGTACTATTGGTCTCAATATAAGTGCCCAGGCGACCTGTAGTTTTGATGCGGTGAATACCCTCACCCTCGCCACAATGCGAGTGGGGGTGGCGCTGGCTGGGAGGAGGGGTGCACTCGGCCCGAGTTGTGGCGAGGGTAAGGGTATTCACCGCATCAAAACTACAGGTCGCCTGGGCCCTTATCTTGAGACCAATAGTACGTCATGGGCCATCAAGTGCCTGAAAAAGTCGAATATCCCCAGTATCCCACAGTACGCAATCAACTTCCTGTCTGCTCCTCCCCCCCCCCCCCCTCACGTCTACTGCATCCCCAGAACATGAGCACCGGTCATCAGGTGACGGCCATTGTTTTGAAGCCAGTGCAGTGGACTGCGACTCCCAGCACCGTCTCTTCCCCCCCCCCCACCCCCACCCCCACCCCCCAATGCAGCCGAGATGGATGTCAGCTTACGATGGTTCAGTGAACTCCGATTCGCGGCGACTGCGTTTCCAATGCCATCGCTTCCTAGTCCTTTGTTCTGCCAGTTCTCTCCGAGGTGGGTTTGCGCGGGGACGCGGTGAGCCGGTCATGGCAAGAGTAGGTAACGCGTATAACCAATCCAATTTTTCTTCCACCCGTATTTAATTGATTGCATAGGGGATGTACTGAGTCGGAGCCGGAGCCGCCGGAGCCGGAGCCGCCGGAGCCGGACCATTTTACTCGGAGCCGGAGCCGGAGCCGGAGCCGCCATAACATTTCACCCGGAGCCGGAGCCGGAGCCGGAGCCGATTTTTTTCTCCGGAGCCGGAGCCGGAGCCGGAGCCGTTTGAAATTTCCACGGCTCCGCATCCCTGCTGGTGAGATTTGACAGCATCCTCCCACGCTTCCTTTTGAAATCAGATGCTGACATGATTGGTGCAAATAAATCAGTGTATCTTAATCAAAGTTGATAACTTGAATTCAGACGCTACATTGGTTTGCATCATGCTACTTTATATCTGAGCAGCTTCTCTTAAACTTATGCTGTGCAGTTCATCTTAGAGTTTTGCAAACATTTTGGAACTGTCACCGTTAGCCGTTAAAAAATATGAAACTTAATGCCGCAAATGCACTTTCGAAATCAATGTTTATTTTGGTACAGGCTTGATCCACTTCGCTCCTTGATCGAAATGAAAAACACCGTTCCAAAAGTCGCACATTGCGGCTAACGAGAGAAAATAAACTAAGAAATAAGTTGAAACATAAAGATAAACCTTTCTTGAATGTCACTTTGACACTTGTTAATCAGTGAATGCATCGTCCTTGGCTTTGCATATTTACTTTCACTGTTTCAGAATGAGCTATAATAATGACCCCGTTTCAATCAGTTTCTCATCCAAAAAAACCCCTTTTCCTTAATTTTCTAAGCACAAAAATATGACAACAATTTCGTTGCTAGGCAACAAACGCACAGTACCCCCCGGTCGCGACAGCACCAATTGATTAACATTCAACGTAACCGGTGCCCGGTGGGTATATGGATAGCATCGGTCGGGAGGAGGGTGAACAGTGACTTTAATATAATTATTTGACAGATGTGTAAAAATGCAAGTGTCAGCAAGGCCGTTCCGTCGCTCATTACGTTGTAAAAAAACACTAACTCCCGACGTTTCGCTGTTTACTGCTTAGTCATGACTAAGCTAGTCATGACTAAGTCATGACTTAGTCATGACTAAGCAGTAAACAGCGAAACGTCGGGAGTTAAAGTGTTTTTTACAACGTAATGAGCGACGGAACGGCCTTGCTGACACTTGCAGTGAACAGTGACCCCCCCCCCCCCCCATACGAGGGGTAGTACAGGGTGGGAAGTTAACCAGAGTAGAGCACTGCCCAACCGGCTAGCTCGCTGCCAACGCGTCAGTCGGTGCCGGCCATGACGTCACGCCGGCGGCGCATGACGTCACTAGGCCACCGACCGACAAACGTGAACATATCACGACGAGTGGACATAATGAATTGATATGACGAATGGAAATAAGGAAATGAATGTAAATGTCACTTCAGTAGTTCGCGGGCCAGCAGTATCCGCCGTGTGTGTTATTTGACATAACGGTAATCCGTGCGACTGTCCTGTGCCTCCGACACCGATAGCATACATAGTCGGAGGCCACAGCCACTTCCGGCCAGCATAGATAATGACGATAATGCATATCACATGGCTTAACAACAACAAATGAATTGCGATGGCACGGACTCTACTAGTACGTGACAACTCCGATAGTCGATCGCGATGACTCTTGCTTATCATGCATTATGCCAAGAGATGTGCTAAAAAACATAACTCTTCGGTTCCATGACAACTGAACCAGTGACAACTGAACCAGGACAACTGAACCAGTGACAACTGAACCAGTGACAACTGAACCAGTGACAGCTGAACCAGGGACAACTGAACCAGTGACAACTGAACCAGGGACAACTGAACCAGGGACAACTGAACCAGGGACAACTGAACCAGTGTCAACTGAACCAGTGACAACTGAACCAGTGACAACTGAACCAGTGGACAACTGAACCAGTGGACAACTGAACCAGTAGACAACTGAACCAGTAGACAACTGAACCAGTGACAACTGAACCAGTGACAACTGAACCAGTGACAACTGAACCAGTGACAACTGAACCAGTGGACAACTGAACCAGTGGACAACTGAACCAGTGACAACTGAACCAGTGGACAACTGAACCAGTGGACAACTGAACCAGTAGACAACTGAACCAGTGACAACTGAACCAGTGACAACTGAACCAGTATGACAACTGAACCAGTGACAACTGAACCAGTGACAACTGAACCAGAGACATCTGAACCATTGACAATTAAACCAGTCACAACTGAACCAGTAGCCCAGCCAGCAATTTTACTCCGGGCCCAAGCAGGCTGAAGTGAGGCTTGCCCGAGATTTTTAGTCGGGCGAAAGTCGGCTAGCGCTTGGGCTAAAGCCAGCTGGCATTTAGGCAGTCGGCGTATGACTCAAAAACGCCGACTAAAGCCAATGCTCTGCCGGAGGTATGCGCGCTCGGCGAGCTCAGGACAGCCGTAGTTACGCCCTAGCTGTGCGACGCTTGGCGCAAACCCGATGAAAGCCCGAGCAGTCAATCCATTTATATACCGGAGATTCCTCTGGGCCCAAGCGGGCTGAACTCTGCCAAGCCCACGTTACATGCCCTGTCTGTCCCGAGTTACGCCATCAAAGTGAATAATATTTATACGTTGCTAACTATTCGGGCGTCCCAGGTGGGCGTAACGGTCAGTTCGCGACCACCAGGCTCTGTCAGCCCTGTCAGCCATTGTACGGCTCTCAGACGGAGAACTGACACAGATCAATTGGCAGACCGGCAGATTGGTACAGTCCGTCCGTCCAGCCACGCGCTACCTTATACCTATACAGCGCAGTACGACATTAGGAATTGTTTCTGGTTCAGCTGTCCACTGGCTCAGTTGTCCACTGGTTCAGTTGTCACTGGTTCAGTTGTCACTGGTTCAGTTGTCACTGGTTCAGTTGTCTACTGGTTCAGTTGTCCACTGGTTCAGTTGTCACTGGTTCAGTTGTCATACTGGTTCAGTTGTCCACTGGTTCAGTTGTCCACTGGTTCAGTTGTCCACTGGTTCAGTTGTGATCTCTGATTCAGTCGTCACTGGTTCAGTTGTCCACTGGTTCAGTTGTTCGCTGGTTCAGTCATCACTGGTTCAGTTGTTCGTTGGCTCAGTCATCACTGGTTCAGTTGTCCACTGGTTCAGTTGTCCACTGGTTCAGTTGTCCACTGGTTCAGTTGTCCACTGGTTCAGTTGTCCACTGGTTCAGTTGTCCACTGGTTCAGTTGTCACTGGTTCAGTTGTCTACTGGTTCAGTTGTCCACTGGTTCAGTTGTCCACTGGTTCAGTTGTCCACTGGTTCAGTTGTCACTGGTTCAGTTGTCACTGGTTCAGTTGTCACTGGTTCAGTTGTCACTGGTTCAGTTGTCACTGGTTCAGTTGTCTACTGGTTCAGTTGTCCACTGGTTCAGTTGCCATACTGGTTCAGTTGTCACTGGTTCAGTTATCACTGGTTCAGTTGTCCCTGGTTCAGTTGTCACTGGTTCAGTTGTCGCTGGTTCAGTTGTCACTGGTTCAGTTGTCACTGGTTCAGTTGTCACTGGTTCAGTTGTCGCTGGTTCAGTTGTCACTGGTTCAGTTGTCCCTGGTTCAGTTTTACTGGTTCAGTTGTCCCTGGTTCAGTTGTCACTGGTTCAGTTGTCTGCCTACCAACTCTTCCCCTACTCTGGCAATGAAAATCACTTATCTACACTTACTAAACCCATTCTTCTCTCTGGCTGAACTCACCTCCTCGCCGCCCGCGCAGTGCTGCAGGGAGATGACGAACTTGTCAGGCGCGATGTTGGTCTGCTTAGCCACCTCATCCACCAGCGTGGCCACCTTCGCCGAGCCGGCCAGGTCAATGGTCATCTTGCCCGTCGGCCCTCCGTACGACCCGGTCAGGTCACGGACAATGCAGCGCGCCCACGCGACCGGCGCATCGTCAGGATCCGGCGCCTCAGGCATGGTGGCTGACTATCTGTGTGGCAAAGATGGGGTGATGTGAAGTAGGGAGAGAAAGAATGAAAGAGAGTAGGGTAAATGGAAGAAGAGAAACAACAAGGAGAAGGAAAGGAGAAAAAGGAAGAGAGGGATGAAGTGGGAATGAGGGTGATAGGGAGAGAGTGATAGAGGGGGAACAGGAGAAATTATGGATAGAAATCGGAGAGAAAGGAAAAGAGATGAGACAGGGGGAGTGAGTGAGGAAAGCAGAGAAAAGAAAAGAGGATGAGGAAAAAGGAGAATAGAGGAACAGATAAAAAGAAAAGAGAAAGTAAGGACAGCAATGGAAATGGAAGTTGGGGAGACAAAGAAAGAAGTACAGATCTTTCAGACTCCAACACAGTTTGGCTTATTCCAAATTCATGCAGGGGGGGGGGGGAGCTGTTGCATATCCATTGACCAATGTTCAGTTCAAGAAGGATAAACTGATAACTAGCTTTTCACACTAAATACAGCATGTATTTTAATCTAGAGCTGGACTGTGGTCAGGCTAGTTGAGTTCAGATATTCCTTTAAAGTTTATACAATTTTGTGGTCTAGGGTGCTGACTGTTGAGCAGCTAGGCTCATCAAGCCTCCACTTTTTGTGACCCTCTATATGTACTTGACACATACCTATATCAACATCAATGACTTTTTACCCTAGTTATAAGTTAAACCATCAGGCAAACACCATTCAAAAATCATGAAAGAGCTACTGTTCTAAAGTACCTAGTAATAATCTACTGTAGCAATTGTAGATTATTACTTTATCAATTGTGGATCAATTCAAGTATTTATTTTTATTATTTCCTATAGTAGCTTGATATTGATTATCATTAGCATTGATTGATAGGGTATCTAACCATCTACCTACCTTCTATCCATGACAGTGACAACAGACAGCTGATGCAAAACAATGTAATAGGAAATTTGTTAAGAAAGCAAAATGTAGATTAGATGACTGAACCAAAAATTATATGCCAATCACATGTCTATTTAAATGCATCAATTGCATCACAACCTGAACCAGGGACAGGGCGACTAGCATAATTCAAACATTGAATTGTCATATCCTATGACATTAATCATTTTTATCCTGATCCAGTAAATCATTATGAAGCTAGATGAGATACAGCAATTATCCATGCCACCAAAGTAGCATGATAATAAAAGATAGGTAAGTAAGCATTTGGCAACCAATGATTTGCTAAAAGAGAATTAAATATTCATTTTCACGCTTAAACACAAAAACATGCGGAACATAAAGCGACTGCTGACTTAACCGATGAAATGAGTCAAACCAAATTCATTGAACAGCACTTATACAGGCAGGTACCTATCGATATTTGGTATATGTCAAGTTTAGGTCCTAACTACAACTGTGGCGCTTTTGATACGAATATGAAACAGCAAAAATTTTAGGTTTTAGGTTAGGTTAGGTTGTAGGTTTGTAGGTTTTAGGTTGTAGGTAGGTAGGTTTGTAGGTTAGGTTAGGTTAGGGTAGGTTTGTAGGTTGTAGGTTGGTAGGTTATAGGTAAGTAGGTAAGGTTAGCCCCGCGTTCGATGTCTCTCGGACGACGAAGATTCTACGTCGTCTGGCCAATCCCGTCCAAGGTCAGCGGGGGCTCGGCTGCGGTTATGGAACATGATTGGCCGGACGGCGTAGAATCTTCGTCGTCCGAGAGACATCGAACACGGGGTAGGTCAGGTTTGATTGTTTTTTTCTTTTATTCGCGAGACATATGAGTATCATTTTTGGATTCAGAATGTCAAATAATGTAAAAATATGAAAAATTTATCATTGAAATCTTCTTAGAACTTAAACTTGACATTTACCTCGATATTTTTTACACCGGGTTCAACGCTCATTGCAAAAGTAATGCGCATCAGCGGGGATGAAGCGGAAAACATCCCGTTGCCATACCTACTAAACACCGTTATTCAGGCCACTTAAGATTGAGAAGCGAACGTCTTATGCCATTCAACTTCTCGTGAAGCTTCTGACACCGATCGTAATGCCAAAAATAACACTTTGACTTTAATTAATCATACCGCGGCACCTAACATCATTATCATCGACAACAAACTTTTTATCTACGATAATAATAAATTTTGGAGCCATCTGCGCCGCTATCGTATCAAACTGTAGCTGCCATATCGACAGTTACTGGCATATACCTTCATTCCCTAAAGTATATTGGTATTGTGCGATTATTGAATAAATATCCATCGTTTTTACTTTTTTCAAATGTCATTTATCAATATTTCATTGAATTTCATAAGCCATAAGCCATAATACATTGCACCGAATACCAGTTCATATCACCATAGAAACAACGGGTCTTGAACTACTCGTTGCAAAATGCGGGAGGCTCCCGCATTTTTCCTCCCGCCAGCGGGACATAGCGAGGAGGCGTAAGTCCGGCCAAATCATAATTTCGTACTCTATTTGTGGCTCTATCCACCACTTAACGAGACAGACGGCTGGCTGACGGATGACGGTGACGGTCCGGTCAGGTGTCGATGCTCCCGGAACCACGCACGGGTCGGCCGGCGGCTCTGACCGCCGCCCCGCCGCGAGCGCCGGCTCCCCAAACTGGCCGGCGGCCACCTACGGGTCAGCCAGCTCGTCCCGGCCTGTGTACCGACTGGTGCCTGCCAGACTCCTCAGGATCTTCTCACCTGTCGCCGATGGATGCCGGGGTCAGCTCCAGTCCAGGCCCGCCGGGTCAGGTCAGGTCGTGTCAGCCGGGACCTGCGGAGCGGGGGCCGGCGTGGATCGCCGCCCGGGGCAGAAGGAGGCCAGGCCGGTGGCCCACCTGCGCCCACGCAGCCCGCACCTCGCCCGAGGCTATTTCGGGACACTGAGTCGGGGTCGGTGCCAAGTCGCCGGCGGGCGGCCGGCGCCGGCAGGGGGCAGCAGCCGATGGATGGGAGGATGGCCCGGAGGTCGTGTCTGATCGTCCAGACTGGCCATGGGCCAGGTGGGACACCAGCAAGGTCAGCCGTACAAGGGTGTCACTGTCACCAGCAGCCATGTGGTGCCGCATGGTGCGTGCGTGTGTTACACCATGACCAAGTTCTCCAGAGACACACAGAAAAGTAACTACTCATTCGGCAAAATATCCTGACCGTGTTATTTACAGTAGCGTCAAAAGGATAAACGCATGAAAACTGAATAGGTACATGCTGGTGGATAAATATGGACACGAGCCAGCCAAAACTCCAAGAACATCCGTTCACGTAATATAAATGCCAAGTTAGTTCAGCCGGACAAGGGCATCTAATAACAACCGTCGGTAGACACTTCACTATCGTTAGCCAATAGGTACGTTGCTCCTGGAGTCAATGAAATAGACATTTCATAATTTTATCGTAGTTTTATTAATTCTTAATGTGCCATAATATGTATCATATTACAGAAAGCAGCAGAAGCCAAAAGCTCAAAAACTGAGCTCGGTGAACGGAAACAATCACAGCTAACACTTTTCACGCACCGCTGACCTAACAGCGAGCCAGCCACCAGCCATAAACCAAAGCGTCGCTTATTTAGCGTGGCCAAAGCTGGACAACTGGCGGCAGTTGACGACATTGAGGCACGTGCGTACGACACAGATCCATCCGCGCAACTGAGATACCAACACTTGCCAGTGGCCCGCGAGGCGCACGGCAAAACTTAACGATAACGGCAAAGAACGCGAGCAGCGTCGCTGAACTCAACTAGAAGACGACGCCGACGGTGGCTTGACGGATATCCGATGACGCTTGGCGGATGACGCCTGTGCGGTGCTTGTGGTGGCCACAGGGACCCGAGATTCCGCCGGCCTAGGTATCTGGCTCGGCCACGTTGGCAGATTCTGCGGGGAAAAGAAAGTAGCGTGTGACAACTATCGAGCCAGCTGAATCTATGGCTTTAAATTGACTGTGTTAATATGATGCTACGATATAAGATCACGGAGGGGATATGTGGCATGGTATACAAGCAGCCGGGCCAGTACGGTAATGTATGGCTTGGTAACGCCTCGCAGTCGCATATGCCAGAAATACACAAGTTTGTTCACCAACATCTATTTACATATAACTCTTAACCAACATAAGCAAATCAAAGCATGAGGGAAATGATTGATAATTCTATCAGAAATGGCTGAGAACAGAGCAGTCGGCACTGACCGTGCGTCCCGGGCGGCTCGGGTGTGTCCCGCGGAGTGCCCAGCTGCCGGTAGGGGGCAGACGGGTCGGCCGGCTCGCCCGTCGGCCGCTCCTGTGGCCCCTCCCGACCGTTCAGAGTCGGCACCTCCTGTTCAGGGATGGTCTGCGGCCCGTCGTCGGCCGGTAGATGTTGCAGTGCTGTCACAGGGTAGAGGGAACGGCGGTAAGTTCATTGACACCACAGCTTCGCATGGTAAGGAGCACAGGGCGGTAACAAAACGGTATACGTCAGAACAGGGACAGTTCAGTTGTCAAGTCGCACAAAACAGACGCAAAAGGCTGCCGACCCAGGACACCCACCACACTAAACACCTAACCTCGAAAAACACACGAAAGCTTCACTCAGCTAAGACAAGGGTGGTAAAGAACAGAAGGGTCTTAAGCTAGGGTGCAACCTACCAAAGAAGGGAGCCCCTCACAAGAACACACGACTCCGGGGATGTGTCACTTACCCGGTGCATTCGGCTCCGTTCCCTGTCGCTCGTGTCTCTTGTCGGCCAGGTCGGTCGGTCGCTGCTCATCCTCAGACTCAGAGTCGAGGCCGTGCGGCGCCAGGCCGGCCGGCGGCGGCAGCTCGGCGGCCGGCGGCGAGGGGGGCAGCTCCCTGGCGCGCAGCAGGGCGCCCAGCCGCTCCAGCACGGCCTGCACCAGACGGCCTCCGGACTCGGCCACCGGGTGGCCCATGAACGGCACCATGGCCTGCTCCAGCTGCTGGTTGAGTCCCGGCGGCGGCGCGGCGTGGCCCTGACACAGCGCGCGCAGCAGAAGACGCTCCAGGCGCGCGAGCAACGGCGCCGACAGCAGCGCCGACTGGTGGTCGTTCAGGAAAACATTCATCTCGTGTAGCAGCCGCGCCAGTTGCAGCTCCGAATCATCGAGTGGCAGCGGGCCCAGTCCCATAGGACCCATGCTGGGCGGCTCGAACGTCTTTGGCTTAGCCGTGTTCTTATTGGCAGCGTTCTTGTGCGGAGCCAGGTTCTTGGTTGTGGTGTCTTCGATATCCGAGTGACCACCAGCCTCGGCCGCCTCCGGGCGCAGACTGTGCGACAGATTCTTGGTGTGCTTGTTGACGAGGTGAGATTTGATCTCCTCCCGCTCAGCAGCCAGCAGGTGGTGTCCGGCCGAGGCCTGCGGAGCAGACACTGCCGCTGACGCTGAGGCAGCCCGGTTGCGCTGCTTGTGACGCGCGCCGCTCAGCTCCTCGACGACGATCGCCTGGACGGCCAGCTGCACCTGACGGCGCTGGCACTCCGTGCGCACCAGCTGCAAGTCGTGCAGCAGATTGATCAGAAACTCCGGCTCCTCCTGGTTCTGTGCGATCAGCGCCGTCACACAGCTGTATATAGCGTCCACCTGCGGGTTGTTCTGCGGCGTGGAGGCGCGGTGCACGCGCGGTCGGCTCGGGTCTGGCACCGCGGCAGCGCGAGTGTTGCTGGCACCGCGATCCAGCTGCTGGTTCTCCTTGTTCACCTTCTGCTTCTTGGCGCGCGGACGAGCCATGAATCCCTCGGCACGGGGCTCCTCCTGGCTCTCACTGTCTCCCCGTGGACGCTCACTCTCCCGCTCTCCCTCCGTACCGGCAGACAGCAGGTTCTGCCGCGAGTAACTGCGGAAGTTATCCCAGTAGTTGTTTGCACGCGAGCCCGGAGCCACCTGGTTGTTCAGCATGGACCGTGACTGCGGCCCGAAGCCGTCCGCTAGCTCCATGGTGGGCGGTTCATCCACTCGGAGTAGGCCCGGCGCCAAGAACTGAGGCGGTGGGGGCGGCGGCGGCGCCGGCGTGGCTGGCTGAGAGGCGGACGCCACCGCCGCTGCCGTTGTCTGCATCTGACGCTGCATCTCCATGATCTGCTGCTGCTGTCGCTGCAGCAGCTGGAAGCACTGTCCCAGCGCCGACAGCGTCTGCTGGTGCTGCATGTCGGGGGTGGCGGTCGGCGGCGGAGGCGGAGTGGGAGACGCATACGGCCACCCAGCCAGTGGATACTGACCCGGCACAACCGGTGGTGGTGGTGTCGGGTGCCCGGCGTGGTACATTCCCGGCCAGGCGTGGTGCTGGGACCAAGGCTGTCGGGAGAGCGACTGAACCATGGCGGTGACGTGCTGCAGCTGTGCGCGCATGTCTCCATCAGGGGACGGTGGGCGCTCGGCCGGCACTTGACGACTCATCAGGAACGACGGCTCCAACGAGGCGGCGCGTGCCACCCGGTCAGCGCTGGCCGGCCGGGGCGGCTGCGGCACCTCTCTGCCCGCCGACCGGCGCAGACCGGCACTCATCACCACCGGATCACGAGTCGGAGTGCCCCGGGCCACCCGGCCCATCGGCCGCATCACGCCAGTCGGCGGCAGTGAGTGCGGCCCGCTCGACCGGCCGCCATTGTAATCATCACAGCCGCGTGTGTCTCCGCGCTCCGGCTCCTCCTCCAGTCCATCTGCGCCGTCCAGAGCAGCCTCCACTTCACCGAGCAGCGCGCGCAGATCGGGAGGCGCCTCTGCGGTGGTGGCTCCCGACAGGCGCGCGTCCTGCACGGCCGCCATGAGCTGCCGCAGCTGCTGCAGCTTCTGGCGGGTGGCGTCCAGCTCCATGGCCTTGTCCCGCAGCGCGGCCTCGGCACCGTGCAGCGGCCCGGCCGGTGGTGCCGCAGAGCGCGCCGGCTCCCCGCGGAGAGCCCGCAGCAGACGATCCATCGGCACAGCGGCCGGCCCGTCCGCGTCTCTGTCCTCAGCCGGCTCTTCCTGCGCCGAGAAGGTGCGCGGGCGGCCGGCGCCGGAGCGCTCCATGTTGCCCCAGTTGTGCAGTACGGCAGCACGCAGCGAGTCGCCGGCCGGGTCGCCACCGTCCCGTTTGCGGGCGGCTCCCGGGCCGGGTCTGCCGCGTACCACGGCCACCTTCTGCTCGTGATCGGGCCGGTCGTTTGCGGTC